ATATAATAATAATTATTTTTCTACGCGACACTGTATATGAGCAGATTGAACGCTTTTTAGTAGATAAAAATAAATAAATTCTTTTTGATGACTATGTTTCGGTACTTGAGAAGGTAACGATTATTAGAATAAATAAAATAATATTAAATCATGGCCTTAGAGCTTTTTTTTTGTTTTTTCTTTGTTTCATTCGTAAATGCTCTAAGATAATGGCACAACATTTTATGCTACTCAATAGGGAACCGTTAACAAAAAACGAAGTTATTCATAATTAAGGTTCATCTTTTTCAATAGCTTTGTAATTTCAACATTTGCGTGTGATATAAAATTGAAAATCGTTTATGGAAATATTACAAATTGTTCTCTTGTATGTGCTGTACTTACTTCGTTAAATTGGTTTAAACTAGTAAACAGTTTAAAGGGTGACAAGGGTTCAGTAAATCCAGTACTAATTATATCGACAATTTGCATACAATTAAATTAGAAGTATCTATATCGTTACATATAACGCCTTGGTTAACAGTTTAAATTGGTGCCAAAGGTGCCACACCCAGAGGCATAGTTTCCGAAAGGCCAAACGGTGTCATGCATCAAGCAGTGACGGTCCTTTCATATTAGCCGGCTTTCCCTAAGAAAATCTCGAAGCCACAACTGGTTAATTAAAATTTATTATCACTACATCGTATAAAGCAAAGTCGCTTCCCGCTGTCTGTCCCTATGTATGCTTAGATCTTTAAAACTACGCAACGGATTTTGATGCGGTTTTTTTAATAGATAGAGTGATTCAAGAGGAAGGTTTATATGTATAATACATGCATAATATAATAGAGAAACACTGATAATTATAGAGGTTTTTTAATGTAAGGTCGTAAATAAACTCATTTTTTGTGCTTACATTGCAAACGCTGGCTGATCCCTACGAGATAGATCAAAATAATGTACTATAGTATTGTACACTTTAAAAAGATCTACAAATGTCTATCTCTTAGCCACCCACAATTAGCATTTTTATTCTTTACTTCCTTATTAATGAAGCGATTTTCAGCAATACAGCATTCATCCTTATCCAATTAAGTACCTTAAATACATTGTGCATATAGATCAATTTGGCCCTTTACAGCGTGTAATTTAAATGAATGTTTTCGAAGATTTTACAGATTTAAAATGCAGGGACATAGCGGTTCCGTCGGTAAAAGGGTATTGGGGTTAGGTATTAGAAGAATGTCTATAATACAAACCTGAGCAAAAACATTATAGTCTACACTACAGCTTTACACCTAAGCGAAGCGAGTGTGGGCTACTAGTTATTAATATAATAAAGATAAAAGAAATTTTTACTAGTTAAAAATCCACGCAGACCAGGCAGCAGACGGGACTCGGGACTTTAGATTTAACCATTTTTAGCAGTTAAATGCTTAAATATTAATACAAAATTAAATTTAATTTCTTATGGATATGTTAAATAATTGTTATTTTTTTTAAAAACATACGCAATGAATAAATTTTTCGATAAATAAATGTCTAAACTACAATTTAGAAGCTTCGGGCTTGTCCTTTTCTGAAGGCACCAGGGCTCACAAACTCAGGGGGCTCCCTCAGGCCCTGACCAGTAAAACTGAAACAATCAAATAAATCCTTTATTATTTATATATTATTCCATTGTTTAGAAAATACCACCTTCCTAGGTAATTTTTTTTAGAATGATTATTTGACTTTATATCAATTAGAGGGAGGTTAATGTATGATCTTGCGAATCTCCTCTCCTCAGACCACGCCTGACTCTCGTAAAGAGTAAAACTTAGACCACCTTATATCAAAACGCAGACTAAAGTTAAACCTGGACAACATTAGGTTTAAACCAAGACTTATTTTAGTCCGCGTTTTGAAATAAGGCGGGTAAACTTTAGATGACTCGGTAGTTGGTACTGACAATTGGTAGTCTTGCCTCTCCTACAGAACTTTATGAAAGGTAACATTTGCAGTTGACATTCTTATTTCATTCACTCCAAGTTTATCGTGGGATGTAATTGAAATTCTTCTTATATTGATGACACGAAATATATCCATTTGCTACAAGTGTGTTTGCGAAAATGTTTATTGAATTGATTGGTTTCTGTTAAGAGTAATAGTTGTTGATTTCGTTGCCTTGGAACTTGCTCTGAACGTAGGAAGAAACGTTTTATAGTAGTTCGTAACTTTTGTGAAGATATTAACCAAGGGTAACCCCCCCTTAAGGGTAATATTTAACCGACTTCAAAAAGGGGGAGATTCTCAATTCCTCAGTATATATATTTCGAAGTTGTTCACGCATATCTCTGATATGCGTTGACAGATATTGATGTTTTTTTTTTGTTCGAATTATTTGTTTGGCGAGATGGGCTTGTATTAATTTGGTGAAGATTTGATATTTAAGTATTTTCGGAAAAAAAAAACAATAGAACTTCTTAGTTACAAAAAGCACTCAATTCGTGTTTTGTTATTTTAAAAGATATAAATGAGATAATGCAGACCAGCAAACCTATACTTATCCATTGATTTTACTCTGACTTATAAAAAGTAAAAATTAAGATATTTTTTTAACAAAAATAAAAACCGACTTCTCTAAGACAAAACCACAAAAAGTAAGAAATAATACAATTATTTTTATTTTATATCTAAACTACATTTAAAGTCAAATTATATTAGGAGTCAGAGCCATGCATGTTGATAGATTTGAGTTACCATTTACTGTTTGGGTTGGCATGGCACCGACACCGAATGTTAATTTGACATTAAATGTAGTATAACATATAATAATATATAACCCCCTTTTCATTACGAAATATTGACTAAAGTCAAAAACGGGGCCTAATCGTCTATCTTTTCTCCTTCTGTAATACCTTTCATTGACACTGTGTTTTGCGACATAGACACACGTAGAAGGAGAAAGTAGATTCCTTACTGTAAGGAACCATAGCTGAGCATGCGACGTCTAGCGGTTCATTACATTACACGCACCGCGGCCGCGGTAGCATAATGGTCAGTGTCTCCACCCGAATAGGGTGCGGGTTCGAGTCCCGTCTGCTGCCTGATCCGCGTGGATATTTTTCTAGTAATTTTTTTTTTCTATATAAACCATTTCCATTAAGTTGATTGATGGTGATCTCGTGTGTCAATTACTTACAAGATACTAATAAGACCGTAAGATATACTTGAATCAAAATTCGATTTGACTTTACACCTAATATAATTAACCTATGCGCTTCACACATTTTCAGTCAAATTCAGTACAACTTGGTTTTTGGAGAAACAGATAAGAATTAAATTAAAGGGTTCGGTTAGGTAAAAATAAATTCCTAAGACCACGCCATGAACTAATTTAATTGTGATACACAACTTATTAAATGCGTTCACAATTTAAACAGAATAACTGTGTATTTTGTTTGACAACTGGTGGTAAAATTATTAACACAACACACATGCGCCACACCATGATAGCTTTGAAATAATTATCGTCTTCATCATCACCAATCTATTACTGTCCCCACTGCTGGGATAGATATAGGGAGATCTTTCTAAAGGAAATAATAGGCTAGTTGACTCATTTCGAATTGTATTAAATAAATGTTTATTTCTTAAAGTATTTGGTCTAAGGAACCTAAATATATCAATTTCACTTCATAAAAGCAGAAGATTGCTGTAGAAATTTAATTTAAAAAAATATTTATTAGTCTATACTTTTTAAACACTAAAAACGCTGTTCACCACACCCGCCATGATTGTGACGTCTCTTTGGTAGTAAACAACTAAATGTCATGCGCGTGTTACTGTTAATTTGTACTGCATATAATTTTCTATGTCGTTTTCCTACTGAAAGATATGTAAAGTAAGAATTTTAATATTTATTTTGCCCATTGATATAGTAAAAACATACCTCAAAACTTGTATTATTAAAACTGATTATAAATGAAGAGACTTAAAATATTATTCAATGAATACTAACATCAAAGTGATCTTCACAAAAATAAATTTTACTATGAGTCCATAAAGTTGCAGGATCCCTTTTGTAGGAGAACTTTTTTGTAGCCAGCATTCTAAAAGAAAAGTTTTTACTGTGTGACAATACTTATGACCTGACTGTGTAATTACCATTAAAGTGCAAATTGAACGATCGTGATTTATTTAAACAGCAAAGTAAGGTACCACTAATATTTTCAATTGCATAAGTTATTTGTATAAAAATAGAATATTTTGATTTAAACGATCTTTCATTTGATCCAATTTTGCATTAGCAACACTTGCAAGAGGCAAAAATCTTTTAAACAAATGAAATTAAACCTCCTAGAAGTAAAAAATAATACTTAAACCTTTTTTATCTTTAGTCAATCAATATTTGGAGTCGGTGCCATGCTAACGCAAGTAGTTAATGGGAACTCAGATCTATCAGACATGACTATATTTTTTGTAATATACAACTCTGCATCAACATCTGTAAGTGACCATTCACCCCTACTTTCCCGTAGCGTAGGATTGTTGTTTTTAAATTCATATGGGACCGACTTCGGGGTATATCCTTTCCAATAAAAAAAAAGAATTACAAAAATCAGACTACTCTGTAAGAAGTTATGTGTAGTAATAAATTACAATCAGTGTACAGTCAATGATCCCCTGTTTTCATACCCTTAGGGTTGTTTTTTTTCCAAATTCATATGGGACCAATCCGTTTTTTTCGTCGAATAAAATTAATCAAAACACTAACTTACTAAGTATTGTTATCATAATTCTAAAGTTTTTTTTACTAGAAAATAAACCATTTTGACTATGTTATCAAGGATTGAATCCTTGATATTCTTGATAATCGAGACCTTATCAACGCTACGTCCTATTCTAGTACCTCACCGATATTAACCCCCTTTAAGTATACATACTTTTAATAAATATACGTACGTAGATACCATTTAAAGTCCTATTAAAGTTTGTATACACTTAGCGGTCGACATCAATACTCCATTCTTTTCTAGTACCTTGCTGGCTTGCACATACCCGTCGTGCAACACGGAGACAAGTTCATAGCGGGGGCGGGGGCCGGCGTGACCGCAGTGACCCTCACCTACCCGCTGGACACCATCCGGGCGCGTCTCGCCTTCCAGATCACTGGCGAGCACCGCTACACAGGCATAGTGCATGCTGCAGCCACCATGTTCCGGACGGTGAGATGTTATTTTGCCTAACATTATATATTACCCCTGGTGTAAGGGACAAGTTCATTACAAGCACAAGGGCCGGCGTGACCAGTCACTCTTACCTACCTGCTTGACACCATACACGCTCGACTCACTTTCCAGATCGCGGGCGAGCACCGTTACACTGGCATAGTGCATGCCACGGCCACCATGTTCCGTACAGTGACTTGTTATAATCCAAGATCCTGATCTCCATTTGCCTATCTTAACATCATCAGCCAATTAATGTCCCCACTGCTGAGACACAGGCCTTCCCTATGGATTCAATAAGGAGATCCGTGATCCACCACCAGGTCCAGTACGAATTGGTGGGTGCTAACGACTGCAGTTGCAGCAGGGGCCAACGGCTTATTGTGCGGCCGCTGTACTGATAGGCATGATTCAGCTTCTACTGCTTGTAGTCGCCTCCTTACCTTTCACCCAAATCCCTCAATCACTAATATACTGTCTTTTTATTAAGTTCCAAATTAACGCGTGATTATCAGAATAACGACCACCAAATTAACACTACTTAAATTGCTGCTAGGAAGGCGGTATCTGTGCGCTGTACCGGTGTGCTTATCCTTCCCGAGTGTGGAAATTCTTCAATCACTCCTTTTTCTTTCACCCAGATCTCTCAAACTAAATTTATTGCCTTGTCCATTAGATTTAAATTATCGCGAGTTAAAAAGATCTTATTCCCTTGTCTATAAGTTCTCAATTAATCGGTTGTCAGGAAGGCGGTATCCGCGCGCTGTACCGCGGCTTCGTGCCGACCATGATGGGCATGGTTCCGTACGCTGGGTTCAGCTTCTACTGCTTCGAGTCGCTCAAGTTCTTCTGCATGAAGTACCTACCCAACTCGCTTTGCCGCAAGTGCGATAGGAATACAGGTCAGCACATATACATAGAGAATCATCATCGGACTATTAATATTATTACGCACAGGCCTCCCCTATGGATGGAATAGGGAGATTGGGCCATGATTCAGCACGCGACGATTGGTGGGTGCTAACAACTACTACTACTAATAATAAATAAATAAAATGCGTTAAATTAACAAACATTGATTAGATACCTGTCAAAAAAACGACATCTTATATTCTATAAGTATTTTCTTCGCATTTTTTCACAGAGCTCAGCGGCATGTTGACTTTTCAACGGTCCGCGCGTCACTGTGAACCAAGAAGTGCTTGAGTTGTGTTCAAGCACTTCTTGATTGGGACACATTTAGAGCGCACGTGGTGTATCTAGCGTATTTAATATCGTTGCTTGCCATACTAACTCTGACCCCAACTGCTAGCTCGTGGAGCTCTGGAAACCTCGAGACAGGTTTACACGGGGCCAAGGGCGTATTTACCCTAGGACCGAGGAAAAAGGCCTGGGGCGGCTGGCTGCAAGGTACGGCTGGAGGAACTGCAAGGGGTGGCAGTGGTGTAGGGGTTTTTATTTAATTTACTATTTATGGTGGGGGCGGGGTGGAAATAGTAAATGGCCCGTTGCGCTAGATTTAAAAATAGGGGCCAGTTGCTGACTCCAATTTTAAGTGAAGTGCTAAGGCTAACCCGATATTGGCGTAGTGTAAATAGATTTGGAGACAGCGAAGCCCTGTCGTGTCAATGGCAGTGCTGACTCAAATCATTCGCGCTTGAAGACTGCATGTAAACAGTGCGTACCACTTGTCGAATGCCAGCATTTTCCTATTAAAAGTCAATAATTGAACCGGTGTAAATCAGCCATTACTAGTACAATACAAGAATAGAATTGGGCAATATTTAAATGATCCTCAAAAAATTGTAAATTGTCACCCAAAAATACAATTATTGGTAACCTAAGGGGTTAGCGGCAAACTTTTTGACCAAAAACACAGACCAATAAACTTGCACTGTAGACGTCTTTGTATGTAAAGTTGCTACTGCCCAGGTTTCCTTGTCTATCATCGTTGCTCAAGAAGTTTGCCGGAGTGTATACCAATTGTATTTTTTTGAAGATCTTAAGGCGTCGTCCTAATTGGCAATGATCGTGCGATTGCGCGATGCGATCTCATCGTGCGATGAAAATAATGTACCTGTGCTCGTGCGACGGCTTACGAGCTGTATTAGGACACATCTGAAGAAATCTGTATGATTTAAGATCATCGCAGGACAAAAGCACATCATGTCATCATCGTGTTGCCAATTAGGACGACGCCTTAAAATATGACCCAATATAATTTGATTTATGTTGAAAGTCTTTATTCGTTTGAATCGTCAGGTGGTCTAGTTCTAACGGTGCCGGGTAAGCTTCTATGCGGTGGATTGGCAGGCGCGGTTGCCCAGTCCGTTTCCTACCCGCTCGACGTCACTCGGCGACGAATGCAGCTCGCCTGCATGGACCCACACACCGAGAAATTCGGGTGAGAATAGAAACCTTACGCACATACACTTAAAGCAACATTTGAACACACATACACAAAAAAAATGGAGTCAGAAAATACACCTTACGCACGTACACTTGAGATCTGTGGACACACACACTGAGAAATTCGGGTGAGAATATAAACCTTACGCATGTACACTTAAGATCTTTGGACGCACACACCGATAAATTCGGGTAAGAATATACTCCTTACGCATGTGCGTACTCTTAAGATCTTTGGACCCACACACCGAGAAATTTGCGTGAGAATATGAACCTTCAGACTTAAGATCTCCAGAGTCTGGACCCACCGAGAAATACGTGTAAGAAAATACACATTACGCTCATACATAAAATACTCAAAAATAAAACATCAGTAAAAAATATAGTAATTAGCGAGATTACTACTACGATACTGCGGCACGCAGTTACTTCGTGATCATATGGCGCTTGCAGTGCCAAAATATCGAAAACTCGAAAAAAACGGGTTTGCTTATAAAAACACCAGCAAAAAATATAGTAATTAGCGGGATTGCCTGTGCATGGAGTCACTCCGTGATCTTGATACTTGCAATAGTTGTGAATTGGAGACTCGCAAAAAATAGGGTACATATTAGCAATCCCATTAACTTATTATAATGTTAGTGACACCTATACAATATACATATACCGGTAAAAAGACTGCTCTCATGAATTCCCATACTACCTACTATATGTTCTGTAAATAATAACTACATACACTTTTGTATTTCCTTGTTTTATGTTATTGTTACGGGTCGGGTCGAGCAGAAACTAATTTATCAATAAATAACTATGATTAAATTTATGATAAACGAATATAATTATTGTAGCAATGTGATGACATAATAATTAATAAGTTATTAATGAAGATTTACACATAACAGTGGCTTTTGGAAACAGACAGCATCAGGCTCAACCAATGCCAAATGTTTGTCATCATTGTAATGTCTGTAGCAAAGTATTATTATTTGAAACCTAGTGTCACATCTTTGATGTTCTGCCAATTTCGTAATACTGTGCATTTAACACGTGTTAATATTCAAAGCTTATATTGCTAAAATTGGCAAAAAAAGTTTTTGATCTCCTTTGTACACGCTTAGGAAAGGCTTATGTACCAGCCAGCAGTAAGGTTGTGGTCTTAATCTTAGCTTATGATGTTATTGTGATTATTACCTACTTATTAATCATCTGCATTTATTTATTTTGATGACCTCCGTGGCCGAGTGGTTTGTACGCCTGGTTTCATGGTGTCTGTCGCCGACTCGAGAGGGTCCAATCCCGGTGGGGGGCATCTGCCCCCCACGTATTCGTCACACAAACATCTGTTTGTGTGACGAATACGAGCATTTGTACTCCAGTCATGGATGTTTAATATGTATTTCTATATAAATATACTTAACTGTACAGTATATGTATTCTAACCGTTACCCTAGCATTCCATAACACGAGCCTTATAGTGCTTACTTTGGGCTAGGCTAATTGGTGTGAGTGTTGGAAATATTTATTTATTTATTCTTTTATTATTCGAATCTTTATTCTCTTCCCTTTTATTAACAACTTATTTTTCGTACCTAAATAATTGTGTACTTACATTATTATTTCTAGCACTAATAAAGTATTTTTGTTCGCATGGATGCACATTATGGTGTTTGGCAACACTTACAGGAGGTGCGTTTCTAATTAAATATATCTTTGATCATTTCGTTCATACTTTCTTCACAGGTCATTTCATATCATGCTAATTAATATTACACGAGTGACAGCGTCATGTGATTGGCTAATAAACTGTTTTCTAAATTATTAAATTTTCCTCTCTTAAAAATATATACATTTATTGGAGCTCAAATTAAAAATTACTAACTCAAGTTTAAATATATACTACTTAGGAAACTCACTATACGTTTAAACTTTAAATGTAAAGTTAGCACAAGTCGCTACGCAGTTACGAAATAGGTGTACGGGGTGGCTCTGACTGCACCTGTGCGTAGATGCACTCGCTGCTAACTTCACAACCGATATTAAATTTTAGTCATACTATGCAACTTATTTATTATCGAGTTACTTTTGTTTCCAATAAGGGCATTTGATTCTGTTCAACATAAAGTAGCTGTGGCACTTAAAATACGTTTTTCGTTCCCTCATTTGTCCTAGACAAGTGGAAAACTTTCTTTAATTAATTTGAAAGTTAGTGCTATTTTAATTGGAAGTAAATAAGAAATCAGAAAACAAAAATTAAAAACCTTGCAACTACATTTAATAATATAAAGTATTGCTTCATTGGGAACTTTCAACCATTACAAAACGTGAATTTGTTTTATGCAAACCTAAATACAAAAATGCATAATAAAGTTAAGTTACCGTGTTATTAAGATTTTGCTTGTTAACGAAAACTTCAGCTCTATACAGTTTTAAAACTTCAACTATGAATATGATACCCTTTTAATTTTTTTATCCCATCCTTGAAGTTATCACTGAAATGTAAACAAAATATGTTTATCGCTATATCAGTATAATATCTATATCTAAATATAGAAATCTTTATCTATCTTATGATAGTAAACAACATAAACAAGGTTATGATAAACCCAAACAAGTAAATCAATCATTGTATGAAGTTACCGTAGAAATCTAAACCAATCATTCAACAACCATCAAATTCATTTCTATTGTACCATTCCATCTGTAATTCTTTTTTTTTAATTACATAATATTTAAGACGACTTGATCAGGCTATAAAGACGACTTTATCAGGCTATAAAGACGACTTAATCAGGCTATAAAGACGACTTTATGGCCTGCGCATGCAAACGATGTTTCCAAAGACAATTTTTAAAATGAATGTCCAAAATCTATTTTCTGTGAACTTTGGCCTTTTTATTTTTTATAAATCAGATATTTAAAGTAAGTAGGTGCTCAAAGCTCTTGTGTTATGGTAATCGAAACAGCGATAGCATCTCAACCATCCAGATCTAAGTATTTCTCCATTGACAACACCAATAATATTCGACTTCAGCAATGTTGTAAATTCTGAAAAAAGTTCCATAGAGATGAGACAAGACGTTGTGAGTAAATCGAAGGCTTTTGCTGAATGTAGGTACCGTATGATGTAATGGGTTCGAATCCCGGTTGGCCAAATGATTGTGATGAATACGAGCATTTGTACCTAAGTCGTAGGTATTTGAAAAAAAAAACTTATCTATGTATCATTATACGTATTTATAGCCGTTACGTTGTATACGTATTCATATCCGTTGAGGAGCTCGGTGGCGCAGGTGGTTAGCGCGTTCGGCTGCGATCGTTGAAGTTAAGCAACTTTCGTAGTGATCGGTCATTGGATGGGTGACCAAAAATCTTCTATCTCGAGTTCCTCCGTGCTTCGGAAGGCACGTTAAGCCGTTGGTCCCGGCTGCATATGCAGTCGTTAGCACCCGCCAATCCGCACTGGGCCCGCGTGGTGGGTCATGGCCCAATCTCCCTATTCCATTCATAGGGAAGGCCTTTGCCCCAGCAGTAAGGACATTAATAGACTGATGATGATGATATCCATTACCTTGTATCCCATAACACTAGCCTTACATGCTAACTTAAAGGTAGGCTCATTAGTGGGAGTGTTAGAAATATATATTATGCTTGTATGTATGTGCATTTCAGCACTGGCATGGTGAAGACATTGCAGCTGATCTACACTGAGAACGGCGTAGTACGCGGTCTATACCGAGGTATGAGCATTAATTACCTTCGAGCCATCCCCATGGTGGCAACTTCGTTCTCCACATACGAGCTGATGAAGCAGCTACTGCAGCTGGACACCGGCATGAAGATTTCCTAACCCCCCCTCTTACTCCCATCTCGGTTCCTCCCCTGTTTAATTTATCATTAACACTATGTCTTCCCCTCAATTCTTCGTAGCAACGCCGTCTCATTCTCATCATTATCACTTTAACACTCAAGATAGAAAAAAAACATGGGAAGAACCGAAGAAAAATATATAAACGGTTACGTTGGTAAGTGAAGATGACGTGACGCTGTGTACACAAAACATTCCAACCAGGGCCGTAGCTAGGGGCAATATGAGGCAATGCCCTACCTGTTATTACCGCTGCCCTATCTTAAATACAACTCTGGTGATGATTCCAACAAACAAAATAAAGGGCAGCACTTGGTGTATTATTCGATCAAATACAGGCAGTCCTCGATTTACGTCGTTTCAAGTTACGTCGAACAATGTTCTGACACTATTCATCGAGCATACGTCAATTGTTTCGATTTCCGGCATAGGAGAATTCACTTATCGCGAGTTGAATGGGGCCGGCGTTCGTGGGGATGTCTCGACTTACGTCGTTTCGCTTTACGTCGCGTATTTCGAGAACCTAACATGCCGTAAGTATGAGGACTGCCTGTACATTTTTTTTTACACTTGACTTATGGTAAGGTTATTGTTTTCTTTAAGACCACGCTATGATTGAGCTTACACAACTCGGCAATCCAATTCTCTTAATCTTTGATCGGCTATTACATTCAATGATTAGGGATACTCACAAGTCGTAAGACTGAGATGATGAAATATGATAGTAAGATATTGTGAAATAACAACCTAGAAAACTTTGCTACTGTTTGAAATTTTCAACGCTTAGGTAGAGGTGCTACACATAAACTGATTGTACGCCACATTATAAAATATTACATTTATAATACTATAGTATGTAAAATGATGTTAAGAGATTTTTTAACACCAACAGATATTACAGGGAGTTTGCAGATACTAGTAAACTAATTGTTTTAGTTATAGTAAAATTAATGTTAATATCTGGTAGTATTTTATGAACCGAAAGAAAAAAATAAATTTTCAAGGGAAAATTGAAGATCATAAGGGTCATCAAAATACTTTTATTATTTCCGAATCAGAAAACCGACCTCGAACCAAAAGAAAACTAAATTTTTCAAGGGAAAATTGTAGATTATGGTAGTCAAAATAACGAATTATTTGTTGCTCCCATTTTCAAGTTATCGATAGTTACGTAGTAAAGAAAAAATATTTTTTTATTTTTCTTCTTGATCTGTTATTTCTATTGACAGTACTGCAATCTTCACTTACTCCGTCTCGAAAAAAACAGTAAAATGACATTCTGAAGAAAGTATGACATTGTAATTTAGTATTAGAAAAATTTATCATTCCATGACAGACGAGTTGAAAGACAATGACTATTTAATTTATTCATTAAATGAATGCTTTAAGAAACCGTCAATCCATTATTCATAATGAACAATTGTAAAGGTGTCGGTTCAAGAGTGGTAGTCGGTTTCCGGCAGCGATAAAACATATTACATCATTTGAGAGCTTGTTTAATGTTAGGTATAACATGAACAAACAATTTTAGTTTTTATTTTTCCCCGATTAATTTTAAATTGTGTTTCAAAATTCAACAACTTCCTAAGGATGCTGACCATCCGATAACGTTCTATTTTTAGTCTGTGGCAGCTAATAACGTCATCTTAAACACTATGTCAAATGTCGATCATTCCAGTCATGCATATAGTGAAATCGTGGTGATATTATTATACCAATTTGTGATTGATTCTTCTTGAACTAAACTACCCACAAAATACCTAATAATTTAATGGGAGATGAAATAATGATCACTGGTTTACCTATTGAATATAATATAGTTGATGTTTTGGCAACAAGTAGTAGATAAATAGGTAAACTTGCCATTTGCCAATCAATAATTATGTAAATATAAGTAATTATTAAAACGGGGATAAAATAAATTCTATTTTTTTGTCAATCGATTTACAATTAAGTGCACTACATGTCATTAAAATTTGGCGTCTGCCGAAGACTCACTACCACCCTCGAAACAAATTTGAACCTGTGACCTTTGTTAAATAGTCTTACGGCGAGTTTCAATAATCAACCTCTAGTACAAAGTAAGGATAATTTGGTTCCGTTTCTTAGCAACGGTTATTATAATATTAATATCTTAGCAAAAAAGCTCGAGTAGTTCGGAAGAGGCAGCTCTTACTGGAGTTTGATTTATTGCAACTGGCTGTCAGCAAAGTAAGCTGGTCAAAGTGACTTTTTTAAAGTATTGATAAAAGAAAATTATAAATTTAATATAGGTAGTATAAATTATGATAATTACTCATTTGAATAATTTTGTTATTTATATCACAATTATTATTATTTTATACCAGAATGATATTGGTATATATTGTGTACTGGCAATTTGTTTCATTGCATAATTTGAATTAAGCAGTGAAAATCTTTTCGTATCTAATATACTCAATTTCTCACAAAGAGTTGTCCCTGTGATGCAATTTCAAGAATATGATTATAAAAAATTCTATTGTATCATGCTGATTTGTCTTATTTACATACGCGTTAATCTCATTTAGAATTTTAAATTCGGAGGTGAATCAGTATATTTTGCTCAGTACTAATTAAGAAAAATGACTTGACAGGCTAAAATAGAGACATCAGACATATCATTATCGATAATTAGTTTTTCAAATAATTTCACACGACCCCCTTACAAAGTGCTTATTGTGTACTCCTGACATCTGTTTATCAATTACAATCATGAGATAATAGGTATATTCCATTAATTATATCAGTGTCTCTATAAGAAGAGTATTTTTGCTTTATATTTAATAACAAAAGTATGATATTTCTATCTTTCTTCTTCTATCTGTATAGAAAAAACCTAGGCGCTGGTCTCGCCGTTCGATTAAATGTGGTTATAAAATTAAATTCACTGTATAAATAATGGATCCTTTGATTTATTTATAGGCCTAGATAGAGTAATCCAAATTAATCAAACAAAGGAAACGGCTCATGTTTCGTGCAATGTGTGCATGACTCTAATGTTAGATTGTATTAAAGCAGTCAATGTATTCGTGTGTAGCGACGAGCATATCTACCATATGTAGTAGATATTTCTTGTGCAGTCCGCTTCCGTGCACTTAATACGGTATCTAGGTTGTATATAATCAAAGACTGGATCGTTAGATTTAAAATTATCCTTACATAACGCCGGCACTTAATAAGGCTATTCGTGTTTGGTATTTGTCATTTTCACAGCAGTTTGTTCTTATCATACTCTTATAGACAATGAAAAGAAATACTTGTCAAGTTTGCAAATATCAAATACGAATAGCTCTGAAGTGCCGGCATAATATTATCGAAGATTATTTAGCTTTGTGTAACAAAAGTGTATTGATGCTTAATTTATTTTAATTTATAAACGCGGTTTCAAAATAATCATCAACAAAATAATCATTCATTGATGATTATTTTTTGTAGCATATTAATTATTTTATATAACTATAGCTATAGTATAAATATATGTATTTTCTGCTTTTTTAATGTGTTAGTTTAAAGAATTTTTGGAATGTGTACACACAGCAGCTTTTTCGGGTTTTACAACTGTCAAAATACTTAAATCTATTTTCATATTTAATGGTTGTGTTTAAGTTTTATGGCAGGATTATAATATTTTGTCGTAGCCCGAATTGCTCTTGCACATTGTACACCAAAACGCCTTTTCAAGCACAATTTTGCACAAGTACAATATATAAAGCATTATTATGGGCAAACCAATCAAATTTCTATAAAGCAATACTGTCTCTATACAGAAGCGCTTGCTGTTAGGATTACTTTGCTCAAATTACTTTTATCTTTATCAATGGCTCGTGTAGTAAGATATATTTTTAATTAGTCATTATGGTTTTCCATTACAAGTATTTATCACTTAATAGTGTCTTTTTTATCACAATTATTGTTTAAATTCTTGTAGCTTTAAATTATTGACAAGAATGAAAGACGTTATTATAAATTAACATTAGTGTAATAGAAAAATATATTAGCTTGTAGGCAATTTTTCATTCCATTTTTAAATAATGCCTTCACTTCAGTATCAATATCGTAAAACCCACCAAAAGTACATTGGTTTGAATGATTTTATAGTCTTAGGGTACGGCCAGAGTGCACTCAGATTCAGATTCCGAAAACAAGCGCGAGAAATAAACAGTGTAGTAGACTACAGGTTGCATGCTTTTTCTCGCGCTTGTTTTCTGAGTCTGAATCTGAATCAGGAGTGCACTCTGGCCGTACCCTTCGACTACACTGTTTATTTCTCGCGCTTGTTTTCGGAATCTGAATCTGAGTGCACTCTGGCCGTACCCTTAGGCATTGTCCTAATACAACGCGATAACGCGATCATCGCGCGTTTAAACGATGCGACCATCGCGTGATCGAGAACTGGGTGTCCTAATAGAAAGCGAATATGCGATCACGATTTACGCGAAAATATCATCGATCATCGCGCGAACTTCAGTTAGGACACTTATTCATCATTAATAGGTTTGATTGCGCGTTCTATTTTGATTACGAGAAAATCTATTTTCAATAAGTATGTAAGAAGAGAGAACTTAGTTCGCGCGAATAGATTTTTAAACATTTTAGTCGCGCGAATGCATCGCGCTATCGCCTATTAGGACACATATTCTAGATCAATATGTTTGATCGACGACTCGTACGATGATCGCATCGCTTATTCGCGTTATCGCGTTGTATTAGGACAATGCCTTAGGCATTGTCCTAATACAACACTATAACGCGATCATAGCGCGTTTAAACGATGCGACCATCGCGTGATCGCGAACTGGGTGTCCTAATAGAACGCGAATACGCGATCACGATTTACAAACAGTTTGGTCGGGTTAGCCCTGCATCTCTCCCCGCTTCCTATCGACGCGACGCGATCATCGCGCGAACTTCAGTTAGGACACCTATTCATCATTAATAGGTTTGATTGCGCGAATAGATTTTTAAAAATTTTAGTCGCGCGAATGCATCGCGTGATCGCCTATTAGGACACCTATTCTAAATCAATATGTTTGATCGTCGACTCGTACGATGATCGCATCGCTCATTCGCGTTATCGCGTTGTATTAGGACAATGCCTTAAGATGCTACAGTCGGACCACGATATCTTTGCAAACTGAATAATCTGGTCACACCAACAAAACTTGATCCGGCAGCCCTTTTAGGACGTCATTCATGAATGTCATGTTATGCGAAAATCTTTCGCATGCAGTTTTTTTTGTGCATAGAAAAGAAGAGAGAAATCTGGTACAGAGGCAATTATTTATAAAATAATAAATCAAAATAATTTGCAAAGGGACAAATGAAGTTGGTTCCTATGCAGAAAGAGCAATTTTATGAATAAACCTTAACGTCAACGAGTGTGTTTCAAATAATTATTGGTATTTTTACCATGTATCACATGTATAGGCCATGTATATACCATGGCCCCCTCAAAAAAAAAAATAATGAAATTGAATTTCAAACTAAATAATCCGCTTTGGGCAAACATTTTAACTCATTACGTTTACGATATAGAGACACCCGTGATGCCCGCAATAGGGTTCCGTTTTTACCCTTTGAGTGCGGAACCCTAAAACTAAATCACTGAAATGGGCTTATAAATGTGTGAATAACAATATAAATATAAACTTAATATATACATTCATATACAGGGTGTTTCTTCTAGGGTGTCAAGCCAGTGCGAGCTGATAGCGGAGTACCAGCTATCAATTGAACCCCCATGTATGTTCTACGATTTTGCGTAGTTTTCGAGTTAGAATTTTTTTTCGTTATTTTTTAAGTTCAACGATAAGACAACGTTAAAAAGTATAACTTCTTTTTGGGTCGATTTTTCTTCGAAATTCTTTTTTTAACAAAATGCCTAGTACTTACTTGTAGTTTTATAAGAAAAATAATCTCCTTCCTAACTTTAACCTAAGATATAAAAAATTTGATCGATACTAAATAAAAATGAATTAAGTAAAACAGAATGGATTTTCAATTGAAATAAAAAAAACTAAAATAGACGTTCCATAACATCCGACTAATTTTAAAAACTGTCCGACTAAATAAGCTTTAGTAAAAAAAACAAAAAAAACATTATGAATTTGAGTCGGTTAAAAATAAAACATCAGGGACAGTTAATTAAACTATAATCAGTATTGCCATGTAAAAAGTTTGAATTTTTCCTACTGTCAGTCCACTGCAGACTTATCGTGGTCCGACTGTATATAAAAACAATTTTTCTGATGGCAAATGAAGCTTTCGCATCTAAGTTGGTACTTAAAATGTTAGTTCTCAAAAATATTTTTTTGATTTGCTTTCTGGGAGCAATAAGTTGTATTTCACATAATTTATTTAAATTGAAATATCCATAACCTTCAATATGCAAAAGTAAACCAGCTTAGTATCACTTAGCTCCAAAGCAAATGTAGCCATAGTACTCTTTGGATTACGTGTAGCAAATACAACCGCCTTGCGAATTATTATATTAATTTTATAACCAATAGGGAATATGCATGATTATTTTTTATATTTTGTAATTAATAGTTTACATTTCTTTAATATGGTATACAATTTTTTGACGTCAACAAAAAATGTTTAAAAAAGGCACTGCACTGGCATTTTAAACGCATACTATTTGGAACTCTTGGTGATGATGTCATGATCTAAAGCAAACTGGCAACAAAATCAACAAGGATTAGAAGGTTGGATGCGCGCTATAAATGTTAAACAACCGATTTAAAACGTTTTAAACAAAATGTTGCCGTTTTAAACCCCAAATAAATCGTTTTAAACGGTTGAAAACTGGCATACAAAAATAAAAGAACTATGTTTTTTACACTTCATTAAAGTTAATTTTTGGTCACCTGACGTCATGTTTATGTTGCGAGTTAAAAAACTTTTGTGGGAAAAGCATACTTATACACTAGAAAAATATATGACGGATAAATTTTAAATTAATATTGTAGTTCATTTGTATTCCTAATTTGTTAAAAAAATCTTTATAATGTACTAGCTGACTCGGCGAACTTCGTACCGCCCAAAAGTAATAATTTGCAATAAATTAAAATTGCGACTATAATTTGAGATTTAAACTATCCTATCTCTCAAGTTGGATCGAACTGCACATGGTGTGCGAATTTTATTATAATCGGTTCAGTGGTTTAGGAGTCCATTGAGGACAAACATTGTGACACGAGATTTATATATATTAAGATAAATGAATATCTGATGGATAAGGACTTAATCGAGTTCTGATGGATAAGGACTTAAACAAATGATAAGAAGTTTAATTAAGATTACTGACAATTATTATTATGATGACATTTTATTTTGAATTGTAATTTAATTTTAATATTTTACCGTTATTAATTCTACATTTGTATGCCTGATGGCTGGTCGTAGTTGGACTGTATATTTAAGCAAAATAACCATGTATTACCTATGTACCACAAATAAATAAATAAATGAAAATGAAATAAATGAAGGTAATACCTATGCTTGGTCGCGGATGGACCAACTAGAACTGAACTCGCTAAGTATATCAATATCAGTAAGTATATCAAACATTTAAAAAATCTTTATACAGTTTATAGGTACTCCGTTATATTCCTACCTCGGTAAAATCAAGACAATGTAGTTATAATTAAGAAAAACATAGCCAACCAACCGTTTTAAATCGAAAAAATTGTTTATTTCGGCTTTAAACGGTTTTTTTCGTTTTAAACGGATTGGTTTTAAACCGGCCTTACATCTATAATGCGCGCGCACTAACTGACTCACACTAGGTCTCGTTGACTTATTTCCTGTGAACATGGTGCTTGTTTGTTGATTTGTTGTTATGTATCTCTACGTTACAGTATCTCTTAGATATTTAAATTTCCCACAATTTTTAATATTTAATTTCTTGCTCAAAAAGAAGCTATAAAAATACTGATTGAGGGACAATTCAAAAGTAAGAGTTTATATACAAAACATTAGAGTCTCTTTTGAATGACATGCATACTCCCTATTTGTAATACTTAAATATGTTAGTTGAATAAGGATAAGGCACATATTTTCATACTGCGATAAATAATGTTGAAACAATGTTTTTATAAGCGCTAAGGCCCCAAATTTTAACCAATTGTTTTATTGCATTAGGCAATTCTATTTTATTTTTGGTGGAGCCAAGCTTTCTTCCAATATATGTTCTTTAAAATACTCTGTTATTATTTACACATTCACTATTCCTTTGATGTGATGAAACATTTTATATTAATATTAGGTTCAATGATACAATTGTACACCCTAGTAAAATGTCTGAATGAATATTATTTAAATCTCTTTGGCTACACAAATATGTATAAATGTCAAAGAAAACAAATTGTATGTTGTGCTCATCTGTAAAGCTACCAGAGTACCAAAGATGACAAGGCAAAATGATAAAATGTTATAGATTTTCATGAAAAGCTATCAATTATACAAAACTATGAATGCTGAATAAATAATGAATAAATGATATTTTTTCCAATATGTTTTTCTATTATAACCAAAATCCTTCTAGCGTGAAAGAAACGCGGTTTCTGAGCGCAATTTACCAAGGGTAGGTTATTGGTATCGTCAACATTGAAATGAATTTGTGTAGTTCAAATTCAATTTGACTAATAAATCAATTCATACCAGTTCCCAGTCGTCACCTCTTCGTTCGCTTCGTTCCCACTGGGGACAATCGAGAAAAAAATACCATTTTTTGTCAGTGGGAACGAAGGCCATGGTGACGACTGGGAACAATAGATTCATACTAGCGCAGGGTCGAAGCGTCATTCAGAAACGCAACATACCAAATTCACCCTTATCTCCGCAATGTAATGCGCATATTCCTTCAGAGCTGATAAATCAGCGTTACTGACTCGCGTTTTCCGTGGAATGTTATGCTGCGTATTCATCAGGCAACATTTGTTGATAAACTGTTTATGAAGTTAATCACCTTTTTTTATAAACAAGTTTACCGTAAACACTGTTTCTAAAACTTTGCTGTCCACACTAGTTAGTTGTTGCTAGGATGTTGCCCGAGGCGGTATTGTTGCTCTGCTACTAACGTAGTCATGCATGAGAGTACTACAGACAAAAACAACCAAGTGCGTGTCGTGCCACGCGGAGTGTAGGGTTCCGTATTTGCCAGTCGTTACCACAATATATTTGAACAAGTCTTTATTTTCTGTATCGGAAATTGAAAAAACAAACGATTTTTAAAGTTATTTTCTAGATTTTTTTATAATGCAAGGTTTTAAGCTACAATAACTTCATCTATGTCACTATTAATGTTTTCTTCTAAGGGATTTTCTTTAACCAAAGTTGAACGGCTATTACTCTCTGAACTAACAAATCTACCTTAATCGTTATAATTTTCCTCAAAAGTTCACTATTATCACCAGTTTCGATGGCCAGTGTACTTATAGTACTTAATGTCGTTTTTTCGACAGGTAGGTATCTAATCAATGTTTATTAACACATTTGAAACAAAATTTGTTCGAATACTTACTATAAACTGATTTAATAGAAAATATTTCTAATATTCAAATGCACGGTCGGTCGGATAGCCGTCTCCTTTCAGACTCTGCTATATTGCTAACAGCGCATTCAAAATTGCCGTAGAGCCAAAGAAATAAGGTCTATATTCTTCCGCATATAGCAATAACTCATAAAATTTTACAAGCTTGTATTTCGAACTGTCGCAACTCTTTGACGCATGCGTTTTAATTAAGACCTTTTACAGTCTGCGTTAAAGGTGACTTTCAATTTTTAAATAATGCCTTATATTGTTTTTGAAAACGCGATCTTACGGAGCTCCGTGGATCCAATGTACCTTTTGGCCACGATTTTGTTCGTTTGTTGTATCCAGAGTATTTAATATCGTTGCTTGCTCTCTATTCAGAGAGGAGAACGCGGCAACCAATGTGGCATCACCTTTGTTTATAAAGTGTTTCTAGATTGTATACGGAGGTGATGCAACATTGACAAATACTGTTTATAAAGTGTTTGGGTATACACAAATGTTGCCTAATAAATACGCAGCTTTATACCGCGTCTTATTCATTTCAGATGGAATATGTGCATTACGTTGGCGAGACAGGCGTCAATTTAATTTATTAGGGTTTTGAGTGACACTTCGACTCTGTGATAGTATGAATTGACCATAAAACTATTTCGGTAATTGCGAAGGGAAGTTGTGTACTGAAGACGGGTTTAAGAGTTACTACACCGCCCGATGAGGTGCATATTTATTGCCTTTATAGTAGAACTTGTTGCTATCGTTACCCAAGCACAATTCATCAAAACTTATTGTAGTTTTTGGACAAAAACAAAACGATTTCTACATGAACTTGTATAGAAAATACAAGTTCAGGTATGTAGTAAGTATGTAGTTTTGTTAAATAACCATATTAAAAATGTAGGTGCATGCATTTTGAAAATGTATAACAAGAAAAAATAATAGGAGGAAGTTAGTGAGACAATAATAAAATCATTTTAAAAACAATGCATTTTGAACAGACTAACACAATAATGAGAACAAAAAGTTATGAAATAAAATCCATGTTTATTTTATAATTAATTTTATTTATTATCTTATCCTCCAACGGGCATAGTACAGTTGCAAGAATAAATTATTTTCAACGGTTTGTTTACATTATTGCCATATGCGTCGTGTCCACCGGGTCGGGATCTATCAAAATATAAACTGCACAATATGAACAGTTCGTATTCCTCTACACAGGTTAATCGTAAATGTTGGGTTGGAGAAGTCTATGCAGCTTACCGGGAAAGCCTTAAATTAGTTCGAGCTTCGATCGAGTGAAATAACACCAAGTAGAAAATGGCAAAATTCCAACTGCGAAGTTAGTTTTAACATTTTGAGCAGTGGAACGTAAGCAGTTAATTGAAAAATTGGACTAAAATACTCTGGAATTACTATTTAATCTAGGCAGCAAATTGTTAATGTAGATTACCTAACCGTTTCATTGAACTAAGGTGATCAGTCTGTTATCACGTGTTATCGAATGAAACTGGTCAACGTTACCGCTCAAGTTACAACTCCATTGTCCATGATTCAAACACTATTTCACACTAACGAAGCTCCGTTCATACATAATTTTTCTTTTTTTGTTTTTTCGGTATTATAATTATTTTTTTATCTATAACTTACATACTTAATACTTATATCAACGTAACGTGTGGCTTAAGATGTCATTGGTGGGTAGTCTTTGTATGTACACACGTTTTTTACAAATTATAGTGCAATTTGGAAATACAAAATCATAATTAACACTATAACAAGCCTGATGTTACCTATCCATATTTATAAATGTGATGGCACTGACAAAAGAAACATCTTCTTGTTTAATCTTTAACAATGCAAACTCCATTTCGATTACAATGTTATTTATTACTTTTGTCAGTATATTTAAGTAGAAAACTTCCGAATGGGTGAAAATATGCGTTATTATAATAATTAATAACATAATATTGCCACGTCTAGATTTTTAAAATATATTAATTACGATGTTACCAATCTGTATAAAACCTTTAAATTTTATAATAATCGCAGCCTATATGCACACTCATATAAAAAGGTTTTTTACTTACCTTGCCTTAAGTGAAATGAGTCAAGGAAGGGATGAACATTCTGACCTTTCTTTAAACGATAACAACCTATTTACTTCCTTGCATTTTTAGGTATTAGCAAATACCTAAAAATATATGAAAAAATTTAATTCAAAATCTCCACTCTTGTGAAACACTTTATTCCATGTCTAACAGGTACTGTGACACAAGAAAAGTAGAATTTTGAAAATAATATATCTCGAAATGCACTTTATAAACATTTTATGGCAGAAGGATCGCACTTTTAGTAACAACATTTCAATTAATACAGTCGCAATCCCCAATTGCCTGGCAGCCATTACAAATTTCCCCATTCACTATTCTGACATAAAATTAAATGCTCATATCATCATACTGCGTACGTCGTATCATTTATTCAGCTTGTACGCGCGTGAGGTTAATGGTCCATGTGTAAAAAAAAGATTAACTAGGTACTTATTATAAAACCGTAAAATTCATTTAAATCGGACATTGCAAGGGTCTTCCAGCACAGCAAAAATGAAAAATATACATAAAAATTACAAATTATAAATTTACTGCAACTTAAAAACACGAAGATAGACAAATGGGTTTTCATTTAACAATTTATTATCCTCAGAATTTTAGGAGTATCCAGTAAAAGTTTTGAAAGTATTCGACAACTGATTACCTCATCTCTCCAATATTTCACAGCAGCGCTGCTGTGAAATATATGGCGGCAGAATGAGTAGTGATTCGAAAACTATCAAAACTTATCTAAACTCGCAGTGGTGATTAATGCGTCTTTTCGCGCCGACACAAGCGATGCGATGTCGACCCACCCTGAGATTTAAACAAAATCATGATGGTATGTCCATTACGTGAAGTCTGAATGAAATAAAACTACCCTCGTTCGGCAAACTTCATTTTAATAATGTCTATATTAGTGTTTGATACATAATATATTGTTCGACGACCGGCCAATGAACATACCAGCATAACCGTCGGCTACTGCGACGTCCCTCTTCCAATCGAGAATGCAATTCTCGGCCACATATTACGGGTTCGATGCCCCGTCGAAAAAATTATAGATGAGTAGTATCAGAGGTCGTTTGCAAACGAGGTTATATATAGAACGCCACGTGGCAAGTGTGTATTATTCAATGATGTAAATACCCGAATTTTACTCAACGACTAGGCATCGGCAGGCAATTTATTTTTTATATCACACGTTCATTTAACACTATGAAATCGTAAAGATTTTAGACGTCGCAAGTAGCTTTCGGTCGTCTCGATTACAATTTCGAGACTGGATGTCCAATATTATACTCTGTTCACAACACAATTCAGCATTACTAAGATAACGGTGTCGATTCTGGCACGATTCTCTAAACTTTAAACTAAATTTATCATCAGCCTCTCCTTTTCATTCTAATTTTCTGTATAGAGAATGTCAAAAATACACACCGTTACCAAATTTAAGTTTAGGTTTAGAGAAACGTTTCAGAATCGACACCGTAACTAACTTTAAAATTTCACATTACAACGCTCGCGGTAACATTTACCGACGCAACTGTACTAAAAATTCAATGGCATCGACGATCGCGAACGTTCGGATATGAGAATCAAGACTCGACAGGCGTTATAACCTTTACCCCCTTAATAATGAACGAAGACTACGCATGGATTAGCTACTCTATGTTTTGTCTCTGTCTAATGAATGGCAAATGCCATTTGAGTGACATGAACAAAACACGGCGTAACTATTATAAGCTTATTCCTTGTTTATTAATAAGGCGGTTCCAGTAAAAAAATATGTTTAAACAATCCTGACTCCAATACGCATACATACTGATGTACGTAACGTATCGTGGTCATACAAAACAATATAAAGTAAGAAAATTTTTGTAGGTCTTCAAAAAATGTGATGGATAAGCTTCTTCTCCATACATAACGCCTGTAGGGAAAATCATGAATACTTCAAAATTTTTCCTCTAGCAACGAAGACAAGTAGCAACCTTTCTATCCGTTAGGGTAAACTCGAAAGTTGACAAATGTGCAATCATGATAACATTTTATATCGCAAGCTTATGTGAATCACATTTATTGAATTAAACTGACATTCAACATGTAATAATACACTTTATTTCTAATCGTTTATTTAGAATTAACATTGAAAAGCATTGAATTATTGCCACTTGTCCACGGCACTTTAAAATTCACACCGAAAAACGCTTGAACAAACGTAGAACCGAAAACGCTTGAATACGTCGACAAACATAGATACTGTATGCACGTATACGTGTACGTAGCTACGTGCAATACCCGGCAACAATAATACACATCAAACTTAAGAAATGTTCCCTACAAAGCCGAAGCAGACAACTGTCTCTTTCTAAATTATGTACTAGACACAGTACACTTACTAGAATTTGCATTACTCAATTGTTGATTGATATCAAAATGGCCAATGCTAAGGCATGCGGGGGAGGGGGGATGCCGCATTTAGTTTGGACCATAGAGGTATAAGAATAGAGTAGGGGAGATATAGGCTCTACTACAAGTGGAAGTGTCCCTCTAATAGAAAGAGAAAGAAGATGAGACAGCTCTCTTTTTTTGCTTTTCTCTCTAATCGCTTGCGCATTGGCAACTGTAAGCATCAACTATTTTGATGTGATGCCAATGGATGCCATGCGTCACAAGAAAGAGAGATAGCTAGCGGTCTCTCACCTTCTTTCTCTTCCTACTAGACGGACACTTTTAGAGCCGCCTTCCCCACTCTATTCTTATTCCTCTATGGTTTGAACACATCAGTGTGACGTCACAGTCGCATGAAAAATAAGGGGCAAACTTGTATCGCGACGTTTGGAGAGTCAAAAGCTTATGCAGTATTATTACACAAGCTTGGCACAAGCGAGTGCCTTTGCAAGCAGTCTCTACGAGCTCTGTGACTGACTAGTAATAATTTAGTAAGACGCAATCGCCAAGTTTATCGACTTCGTAAGGCATATTTTTCTAAAGTTTGACAAGTGATATTGATTGGAGGGCATTGTCCGTGTGTGTGTGTGTGTGAGTTAACCGTTTCTTGTCTGATATTTTCTGTCAACGAAGTGTGGTTGAATTGTGTGGTTTTGTGGGAACAGAGTAGATGCGGACGCAAGGGAACTACCCTCCCGCATGATAAACGCGAACGCTGAAACAATAGGTGAAAGGTAAAATCAAATCAAAATCATTTATTCAATTTAAACTGTTACAAGCACTCATAAATTTAAATTCTTCTGACATGTTTAAATTATAGTCGATTTATTTCAATTGTATGCTGCAATTTTAAATAATATTTAATTTTAATAATATTGCATAAAGTAGTTATTTAATTGTTAATTGTTTGAGAAATGACATTGAAATGTAATTATATAAGAATTATTGAAATTTTATGCTAATCATATTTAATTAGATTGTAATTTTAATTTAATCTAATAATTTAATTGTAAATTGTGATTTCCAATACGATGAAAATTGTTTAAGGACTATGACTATCATGAATGTCTAGAAGCTACGCCATCGGTTCGTGAATCTACGGCGGGAGACCTTGTACTGAGAAGAACCGTCAAGAAACTCAGAAAGTGCCGTTTTTTTCTCCCTCTTTTATTATTTACAGAGTCGTCAAATTCAAAAATGACTTCAGAGATGATTCAATGAGATGAAAATATACATTAATCGTTCACCTGCATTTTGATTGCTGTGTCATACAGTATAAAATACAAATAATAATGTTATTTGTATTAGGTGATACTAGCAATTGACATCTTCAATAACAAAGTAGTTAAGGCAGACTCATCTCCGCTGGCAGCACACATTCAGGAGCATATATTTTAATATACAAACCCAAGTTATAAACCCTGGCAAACTTCAAGCGTCAACCATACACAACGAAGCGTGCGCAGTAGCAATTTTACATACACCACAACATCAACTCTTGCGCAATTCCTTTGTTTGTGTTTTTTGCATAGAGGTATAAGAATAGAGTGGGGAAGGCGGCTCCAAAAGTTTCCGTCTTATAGAAAGAGAAAGAAGATTAGAGACCGCTAGCTATCTCTCTCTCTTGTGACGCATGGCATCCAATGGCATCACATCGAAATAGTAAGATGTCTACTTACGGTTGCCAATGCGCATGCGCGATTAGAGAGAGAAAGCTAGCGGTCTCCCATCTTCTTTCTCTTGCTATTAGAAGTACACTTCCACTTATAGTAGAGTCAATATATCCCCTACTCTATTCTTATACCTCTATGGTTTTTTGCTCAAGAAGTTTGACGCTTCCTATACTATTGTATATATACCATTGTCATAAGGAGTGAACTGGGCGTTCCCATTCCAACTGTAAAGTTAAAATAAGAGAAATACAAAAGCGATCAGGCAGTCAATAATTGGAATGGATCAATATAGTGTTTTCGCAGACAATTCTGTAGAATCATTCTCCCACTTTTTTGTGTGGCCACTTTTATGCAAGTCTCCCAGTGCGTTCTTTATATCTATAATGTATATTAATATTATGGTTCAATTACAATTGGTCATTAGCCCCAATACGATTGTCAATGGTATTACTAAGTAAACGACTAAGTTTAAATGAACGGGGTCGAGTACGCCAGTATCCGGGTAGTTTTCGTTATGGTAACGTCGTGGAATTCGAGTAATGTCTTTCGTGCACACGTAATTAAGCCATTATATATTTATATTTAGAAGTAAAACTAGTTTTTTCTTTATGATGATGGACCAGTTAATTGACGAAAACTAAGTCGCGGGTAGCTGCCTGATAAGAAAATATTGAAAGGAATCTCGAGAATCTTCACTAATTCTTAATGACCGATAAGAAAAAACGCACGTGAAGCCTACTCTAGTAAGAATATAGTAAGGAAAACTTCACATAAGGGGCCGTGCGATAATCACGTGATGTATTTTTTGACATTTTTAACATTTTGGTCAAAAATGATAGTTTCTTGGGAAAACTGACGGAGGTTACATGTTTATTTTGATAATAAATGAGATGGAAAATCAAAATTCGTATACATTATGTAACAATAAAAACATATTTGTGATGACGTAGTAATTAATTTGATCTAATTTATTTAGAGACAACATTATTGAGAGACTGAGGCGTTTGAAGTTGTGCATATTATCGATTTTTCCGTAAACTAGCGACAGTAGAACGATCAGTACAAAAAAAGGAAAATAGAGTTTGCAAATATTCTACATTAACTTACAATAGGAAGACATATAAATCGACTGTTTACTTCTATTGGAAATAGTCAAAATCTTTTCTAAAGGGGTAAACGAGGCGCTCAAAAATTACGATTTTTTACAAAAAATGTGAAAGGGCTTTTAATGGACAGCCCCTTACTGATAAAACTACTCACATGCAGTCTACATGAAGTAATCTGGCGTCCGCCGTGTGACGTGCGGTTCTCCGCGGCGCGGGGCCGGGTCGAACTGGAGGCTACAGACAGACGGACAAACAAACATATCAAACACATCGTTAAACATATGTATATACGAGAATATAGACACTATGCCAAGGTCATAAAACTTCGTTATCCATTGAGTGACAATCGACTGTGTCGATTCTGAAGCGAGATCTGGGTCTCGCTTCTTTTGTCATCACTTTGCGCTTCTAATCATACCAATTTTTGTAGTTATTGACTCGTGACGTATAAAAACAAGTAGACTTTTAATCGCCTAACTGCACTTTTGCATCAGCAAACGGCCGAGACGTTCTACTTCAACTTATACAGACAAAATTAACATATTTGTTCAGATAAACACGTTATGTTGTGGCAATAAGGTTCAAACATGCTTGTTGGAAAATTTCGCACAATAGACGAATACGGGTAATTTTGCTCTCGACACTTTGTAAGAGCAAGTGTGAGTCTACTTGTTTTTATATGTCAATACTCATGAGGCTACACACAGACAAACAAACAATCATATACCACATCGTTAAACATACTATAAACGAGAATATAGACGCTTTGCCAAGATCATAAAACTTTATTATCCATTGAGTGACAATCGACTGTGTCGATTCTGAAGCGAGATCTGTGTCTCCCTTCCTTTGTCATCACTTTGCGCTGCTAATCATACCAATTGTTATAGTTACTCTCTCATGACGTATAAAAAGTAGACTCACAGTATAGCTGTGCCCCGCGGTGTTACCCGCGGTTTATTAAGAATATTTTTCCACAGTAACCGTAGCCTATGTGTTAATCCAGGGCGGTGTCAGCTAACTTCATAACAAATTTTATTAAAATCGCTCCAGCCGTTTAGACATGAAGAAGCAACAAACATACTCACAAACTTTCGCCTTTATAATATTAGTGTGATTTCTTTGTTAATTTTCCCATATAGTATTTAGTATTACTAATATTCAAGGTTTTTGTTGCATAGGGTTTCGGTGCCATAACAAACGTAATAATATAACAATACGAACCCGAGCTTATGTAGACTATAAATTAACACACCAAAAAGGGTAGTCTCTAAAAGTACAAAGGCTATATTATCTAGTTTGTATTGTTTCTTAGCTTCTACATTTAAGGACACATAGATGACAAATATGGTATTGATGTGTATCTCGGTCATATAGTATGTAGAATAGCAATATTTTTTATTTGCATTCCCATACCGTTATTGCAGTGCAATAAATGCGCTATTTTGGCTAAATGAAGTTACGGTGTAAATCTTAAGGTTCGTAGGGAAGTCGGGTATAGTAAAGTTTATTATAGTCTTCATTTCGTAGCCCCTTATCTATAATACTCATATCTATATAGATAAAATTACTTACAATGAGTACTTAAGCGCATCATCCAATTCCATAATAGCAGCTTGATTGCCGCATCTGAAACAAAACATTTATGTTAATTTAATGGACTTTGAAGTACTTGCTTTTTTTTAGATATTAAACAGACACGGCACGCTCTGCAGTAAAACATCGACCCACGAAAACCCGGGCCATCGACACCTGCGTCCCTAGCGGGATATATTGTCAGTTTTCTTAGCCATTTAGTACACGACTCACCTGTAGCAGTAATTGGGCGCGGAGAATATGGTAACCACGTTCCGGTCGTGGCACCAGTTGTAGCCCTCCATGACGAGCTGGTGCGCGCGCGACACGAGCGTGAGTCCGTTGCTGTGGTTGAACGTCTCCGAGATGTCTTGCCCGAACGTGTAGCCGGCGCCTCGGGGAGATATGCCCCATCCGCCTCTGTTCACAAAACACAACACAATATATTAAAAATCATTTATTCACATTACAATTTGGGAACATTATTAATAGGGGTATACCGTTGCCGGAATGGTTTTGTGCTTTTGAAGTCGTCCCGCATTAAAAGTAAAGCGACAGTGGATATAAGAATTTTGAAGCATAGAGTACAGTTTCATTTTATATTAAATATTCTAGGTTTGTTGTTTCCGAGTAGGTAGGTAGTAGGTGTACGCGAAAAGACACAATGTATAATACACTTGAAATAATATAATATTTTCACAAATAGGTACGGACCAATATTTTTTATCTTACGGAAAGTGGAATGCCTCGATAACGCAGTGATAGACGCGTTCGGTTAGTGATCGTGGAATGCTTAAAGGAGATTGCTCAGCTTCCATACATGTTTGGCCTAAAGACTAATAATCATGAAAAATTGTTTCCTAGATTCGAAATTGTATATAAATTGCTGTAGAAACGAATATTATTGACGGACACCCCTGAGAACTTCTATAAACCATATACACTGAACATATTAAAATAATAAAAAACAAATAAGTTATATAGTAAACTAGAGAAATCAAGCCAAGTACCGAAATTATGGATTAGATTCAGGTATATAGAGCATGTAGATTAACAGATAGTTGCCTGTTTTTAAAGTTAATGCATAAGAGTAACTTATAAAATCAGGTGTCATCTATGCATTTCCGGTTATAATAAGGTACTCTGTGACAGAAACTGTGTGATGATTGTGAATGAGCCACAGATTAGAGAGAATTTTTAAACTCTCGTTAACCAAAGAAAGCTAAGAGATTTAGGTTATATAGCCATATATTCAGTAGCTTCATTATTTTTGTTATGTTTTTAATATAACCATATTTTAGATTTTTAGTGTATCACACCTTATAATTTTATTTATTTATTAATTTATAGTCAGGCAACGTAGGCCCATAGATAGACCTTAAAGTCTAACATATATACAGATTATAATATGTTTATGGAGGTGTTTGGCGAAAAATGTATGGCAATAGACTTTATGATGTCGCCTACCATCTATAATAATTGTCTGAGCACATTTGCGTGTAGTGAAAATGATAATATAGTTGTGGATATTAATACCATAGTGTAATAAAAAAAATGATATATTTTATCGATCTTTACAAAATAGATTTGTTTTTATGTTATATAAACAACTTTGATCAGTCTTTGGCTGAATGTTACTACACCCATAGCCATTAAAAATGATTCGTATGTTTTCCAAACCGGTAAAATTAAAAGTCCTTTTTAAAGTTAATATATTATACAAAGGTGTCCGTTGAAATCTAATGACTGTAAATTAAATTATAAATTACGCCAAGAATTACCATGTATGTCAATATTTTTTGTGCGTTTGGGGCAATTTGAGCAATCTCCTTTGCTTTGGCAATGGCCGGCCATAGGAAGAATGCTGTGAGCGATTGACCAAATACAATACAATACAATACAATACAAAATTCTTTATTGAAACACCACAGTACAGTACATAAATGGGTTAAATACATCATGTTTAAACAGTGATTCAATGGGCGGTCTTATCGCTAAAAGCGATTTCTTCCAGACAACCTTTGGATGGAGAGGATTGAATGAAATTGGAGTCGGTGGTGTTATAAAAGAAACAAAGGATATAAAAATGTATATAACTATATACATTAAATATATATACATACCATACATACACATAATATTACTATAAGATATATATATGTAATATAAATATATGACATATACATACATAGACTACACATATAAAAGTTTAATCCAGTCAGAAAAAAAAAAAAAAAAAAAAAAAGCAATTGCAGTTACGTCGACAAATAATGGTTGAAAACAAGTTTTTTGAAAGTATGAATAGATTGTGCTCGTCTTATGGATACTGGAAGAGAATTCCACAGGAGAACAGCTTGGACGGCAAAAGAACGACCATAGAAGGTTGTGTCATGAGTAGGAATTTTTAGGGTTAAATTCTCTGATGACCTAAGAGATAACGCGTTTGAGGTATGAAGGTAATTGAAGCATTCCTTGAGATAGCGCGGGGACAAAGGATTGAACAATATATTGTAGAGAAGTGTGAGGATATGAGTATTCCGGCGAAGTCGAATTGGTAGCCACTTGAGCTGTGATCGAAATTGCGACACATGATCATATTTGCGTAAGCAAAATATGAAACGAATACAGAAATTTTGAAGTCGCTCAAGCTTATTAAGCTGGTCTTCCGTGAGATCAAGATAGCAGGCGTCAGCGTAATCAAGAATAGGAAGCAGCAGAGACTGTGCTAGGGAAATTTTGGTGGCAGTAGGAAGGAAATTGCGAAGTCTCTTCAGCGAGGCTGCCGAAGCGAACAGTTTTTGGCTAACAGTTTGTAACTGTGGACCCCAACTCAAACAGTTATCGACAGTTAATCCTAAGTTTTTTACAGAAACACTGAATGGAATATTGGTGCCAGCAAGGGATATGGTAGGAAGTAACTGCCAGTTCACTCTGGCAATCAACCTTGAGCTACCAATGATAATGCACTGTGTTTTGGAGGGATTTACTTCTAGTCCGAAAGATTCGCTCCACTCTACAATGTGTCGCAGATCATTATTTGTTGCCAGTATTGCTTCGGATAATTGACCAAGAGAGGCTTGTCTATAAATTTGAAGATCATCTGCATACAGGTGGTAGGAAGAAGAAATATTATTGGAAATAGAATTAATAAATATAGCGAAGAGAAGAGGAGATAAAACGCCGCCTTGGGGAACACCAGCAGAAGTGTCGATCCACGAGGAAAAAACCTCATCGACGCGAACCCTCTGCCTGCGTCCCTGCAGATAACTGCGAAACCACTCAATTGCCGATGGAGATACGTTAAGAGAGCGCAGCAAAGCCAAAAGAATGTCAAAATTGACCGTATTAAAGGCATTGCTGAAATCTAGTAATGTCAATACTGTGAGATGACCCTGATCCATCCCAAGGCGTATGTCGTCTGTAATTTTCAGGAGGGTAGTCGTAGTACTATGCCCAGGACGGAAACCGGATTGAAGAGGATTAAAAAGATTATGACGAGACAGGAATGTATTGAATTGGTTAAGGACAAGACGTTCAAGGACTTTAGATAAGAAAGGAAGGATAGAAATAGGCCGAAAATCAGCAAGAAATTGAGGATTACATTTTTTGGGCAAAGGAACGATTTGGGCTTCTTTCCAAGCCGATGGAAAAACAGCATTTGTTATAGAGCTATTAAAAAGAAAGGTAAGGATAGGAAGGATCATATCTAAGATAGGTATCAGCATATTACGACTAATACTATCATTACCTACCGCATTGGAAGAAATGGACAGCATGCTCTTCTTAACGTCACATTCGGAAAATTGAGTAAAGACAAAAGGAGAGTAGTCTGGAACTGGTAAAGATGAAAGAACATTTATAGTACTAGCTTTGTGCAAATTACTGATACAGAGAAATGAACATTAAGTGAATTGATATCGATGTTACTAGGAAAAGACGTTTGACGAGGTTTACCAATTCCAAGTGATCTAAGGAAGTTCCACACTTTAGCAGGATCATTATTGCTGACAGATGCATGAATATGGCGACGTAAAGCATCCCTACACACCATGTTACAGTGATTGCGAGCCTTTGCATAGTTGTTTTTATTAGAGTCTGTCGGACGAATTTTATATTTACTCTTGGCCACATTCTTCTTGTGCATCAATACTTTTATCTCTGGTGTAAGCCAAGGTGCTGGATGGTGCTTAAGCTTAATAGGACGAAGCGGTGCATGTTTATCATAAAGCTTGGTTATAATATTGTTGAAAGTATGCACTTGTTCGTCCAATGTAGCCGCGCTAGTCACTAACGACCAGTCGACACCATGCAGGTCTTTGAGTAACGCCTCCTGATCCATACCACCAAAATTCCGCTGAAGAATGACTTTCGGCTTGGGCTTAGGAGGACGAATCTTGTACGATAAGAAAATCAAGTCATGGTATGAGAATGCATCTGCCGCACATTGACCGTGTTTCGTAGCACGTTGAGGAGAAGACACTATTAATAAGTCGAGAAGTGAGGGAGTAGTATTGGGGAAATGATGGGTAGCGCTAAGTGGAAGGATGTGTAAATTACATGAACTGACAACGGATTGAAGAGAGGTGGCACGAAAATCACCTTTCAAGAGACATGTGTTGAAGTCACCCATGATCAGGGAATGGTCATAAGAAGGGACTATATTTTCTAAAAGCTGTTCAAAAGAACTGAAAAAATTTACATTTAAGGAAGGGCTGTAATAGACTCCGAGGAGGATTTTGGTGTGGGAAAGGAGTACCTCAACGAACAAATGTTCACCAGCATTAGTTGGTGGAGGCTGTGGGGAGGAGCTAATGACATTAAAGGGAATACCAGTACGCAGGTAAATAGCAACTCCACCACCTCGCGAACCAGTACGGTCATTACGTATTAACTGGAAACCAGGTAAGGTATATGCAGTGGAAGGTAAAGAAGGTTTAAGCCAGGACTCGGAGACTAAAACAGCATGAAGATTTTTATTGTCAAGAGACGCCAACATATCGGTGTAGTGAGCCGGAATACTTTGCGCGTTGATATGAACCACGTTAAAATTTTTAGGTACATCAGAAAACTGGTTATCTAGGTATTCAGAAAGAGAAGGTATACTTATAAAACTACTGTCAGTGCTGCCGCTAGCAGGTGATAAAGATTGGAAAAAATCATCGTTACTATCTATTTCTGAACCGGACATAAAATTCAGACTTATATACTATTAATTATAAATATATAATATAAATCCAACAAATTATATATATATATATATATATACATCTTGCTGATCATGTTGCGTCTTATATGGCGATTTTTGCTATTGATCCTGCGTCCGACCGACTTGATGCGTCCGGTATACGGACGCAAGATTAACCTAGCCTCATTTTTGGTGTAAAGACGTCTTTTCATGCATAGAGTGCATGGGCAAAAAT